CTGCTGTTAATCGATGGCTGTTTTCAAAAGAACGACTTTATAGCTGCTGTAACAAGAAGAACTGCTCTAAAGGTCAGAGGCTTGCTTCGGGGTACAGAGAGATTTGAATAACCCCCCCCTAGTTGTCTGCTATTGATTGTTGACGTCTGCCTAGAAGGATTTTATAGAGGTTGTGTTTTTTAGCTGGGAGCAGTGAAAGTTTAACAAATATTGCATTTTCTGAGTAGTTAGCCTTGAGTTACTTACAATATTTTATTTATATTGAGGTCTGCCTGCAGTTATACATTCAATATGACAATTGTTATTACGTTTGTGTGTTCAAATATAGAGCTTTATCAGTCCATCCAGACAGCTGATTACAATAAGGCCGCACTCTGCATTGTCTCGTGTTTTTAAAAAGATATAAACGGGGGTAATTCTGCAATGTAATTTCAGGGATTTAAGCCTGGAGCTGTTGTTGTCATTAGGCTTGTTGTCGTTATTTTTACGCCTTAAAAAACAACTCTCTTCTCTCACAGAGCTTTAAGGAAAATGGATGAAAGATTTGAGATAATTGGGATGCTTATAAACCAAGTGTTCACCCAGCTTTTCACCGCAGTGTCCTTCTCATGCTGATCAGCTGAAAGGCCTCTGATTTCAACCCCAAATAGAGCACTCTGCCTCCTCTGGGATTGAGTTTCGGGCCGTTAGTGCCGGCATGTGATGTGATGTGATTTGTATTCAGAGAAAGGCGCCGGTGTGGGTCTGCTCAGAATGGAATCCAAGTTTTTTCATATTGGTATTGATCCCTTTAGGGCAGGCGGCGAGAGGAGACCGACGAGCACTAAAATGAGTTTACTTCAGGCTGTTTGCAGATCAGAGGAATCTCGTCCAGGATGCTAATGGACGGGATCCGAGCGATCCAGACAGAGAGAGATCAAAGAAACTTCTCAGTTAATTAAAAAAAGGGAATGTTTGTTTACCATCACACTTTTGAATGTGAATGTGTTTATCCTTTAGTCCAAGCTGACGTCTTCACATTGTGCGTGATTTCTGTCTCAAAGATGAATCCACACGACATAAAACAAAACAGATGACCACATTTAAAGAAGTCTGTCTTTGCTTGATGAACTACTTTCAATATAGTCCCACCCTCCATCCTTTAGTATCACTACAATGTCGCACAAGGGGGGAATTCTGTCTGTACTACCTTAAATCTGAGTTTAAGGTGCACATAAAATAAAAAAATGTCAACCATCCATTGCTCATACTCTAAGAATGTTTCAGGGACCGTCAGAGCAAAGATAAATGACACAACAGCTACAGTGAAGTCTCAGGCTCCTCTAACAGTGCAACACACAAAAAACAAGATATATATAAGACCTAAGGAAGTCCAATTAAAATGCAGCATAAAGTAAACTGACATGAAACAGACTAAGATGAAACACTATGAAAGAATAAAATTCCGTTTGTAAGGTGTAACGGTGAATATTTAGCACGTTTTGAAAAAGAAAACACGCCTTTCAATCCGCCCGCTGGTTGTGGTTCTCTCAGTCTTCTCCCATCAGGATGCAATGAGTATTTGAAGAGTATTTCTACGTGCGATGATGATTCATTTAACTCAAACTAATGTTCTCATTGACTACATTTTCGTTACCAGAAAACCAGACACCAAGCCGAAGAGCTGGCTGCCGTTTCCATCTCTGGAAGCATGATTCAGGCTGTTGCTGAATATCAATCAAGCAAAGCACCAATCTCTGTACTTGTGTATTAGTTAAAGATTGACAGTAAAATGTCTGTGTTTACAACTTGGAAACATTCTCCCACAAGATCCCAGAGCGATAGAAGACAAATCTTTATCCAAACCAAGCGTCTTTGTTTGATTCATTTGATGTTGCTTAACTTTTTTTATTTTTATTTTTTTTATTGAGTCCGGCACAATGAGTTTACATTTATACAGTAAATATTTTGTTTTGTTTCCCCTTTCCCACCCTCCCGGTCCTAGCTAGTAAATTAAATAACTAAATGAATAGATACATTCATAGGTAAAAGTAAAGTAATGTAGAACAGGGGTTCCCAAACTTTTTAGCCCGCGACCCCCAAAATAACAGTGCCAGAGACTGGCGATCCCCTGTCGACGAGGGGGGGGGGTAGTGAAACACTACGCTAGTGGATTGTCAAAGGGGGAGTCTCGTTGCGGGGAAATTATACAGATGGCTAGTCCAGCCCTGAAAATGTCTATTCAAACGTTATTATGAATAATAATTTTTAAAAAAAAATGATAAAAAAAATGAATCAATTTCTTTTTATAATTTTTTTTTTTTAAATTTTCCATTTTTAATTTGTAATCATCTCGCGACCCCCACTCGGGGTTTCGCGACCCCCACTTTGGGAACCCCTGATGTAGAAGATAATATTAAAAGAAAATTAATAGATAAGGAAATAAAGAATAGTACCAATAATACAACGACCCATATACTCACATATGTATACCCACATATACACATACACATACATGTGTGTACATACCTACACACATGTACACATGCACATACATACACGTACGTACGTACATACATGTATACAAAGACAGTAAAAAACATACACATACATTCGTAGTTCCCCCCATGTTGCTAAATTTATCGATTAATCCACGTATTATCGCGGCAAAACTTTTTTAAGCACCAGAAACCAAGCTGAAGAGTTAGCTATCCCCCCCTCTCTCTATCCCCCTCTCTTTCTATCCCCCTCTCTCTCTATATCCCCCTCTCTCTCTACCCCCCTCTCTTT